CCCCAGGAATCTCGCTGGGCGCACATCCAGAACACCGCGGCCAAGAAGACCCTCTTGCTCGGCACCATTAAGATGGCAACGCTGAACCTCTTCCAGATCGTGACCAAGCAGCTGAAGGAGACAACCCACGTGTCCCTGGAGGACACGCACAAACAGCTGGACATGGTGAGAGGAGGCGCGGGTGCCAGGCGGGCTGTGTCTACTGAACCAAGATGGTTCTTGATTGGTTGAGTGGAGGAGAGAGCCGGATAGAGCCGTGGGTCTCAAACAAGAACAGGATCAGGATCACCTGGGGTCGGGGAGTATTGCTGGGCCGCACCCCAGAGTCTCTGACTCAGTAGGTCTGAAGTGAGAACTCATTCATTTCCATTTTCAACAAGTGCCAGGTGCTGGTGCTGGTCTGGGTCCCACACTTTGGGAACCACTGCTTTAGAGCTAAGACCCTGTTGGCCCCAATCAGCTAGGACAGTAGCAGGGACCCAGTATGGGATTCATTGTGCAAAACAGTCATATTAGATCTAGTGATGTCCCGAAGCCTTTGCCTGAGGCCCACTCTTTGGGAAAAGAGAATATTGGTGAGGGAGAAGGGAGGTAAATCAGCAAGTTTAGGGAAGTGTTAGAGTCATAGTAGTACCAATCTGAGATTTTCTCTTTGAAGTCATTGAAAGGAAATAACTTTTTCACTGTATGATCCAAAGCTATTCAATGCCATGACCAAGTGCCACCTAAAATCATGTCACTTCTGACCACAGGTAAACATATCCCATAATTTGGGAGACTCCGTACCAGTAAGCTGCATTAGCCATGCTTCTTGCGACATGGAGAGAACCATGACTATTTACGTATTCCTTTGGCAAAATTCATTAGCTCTGCTCTGAAACAGTAGAAAGTAAGCACCTGAAAGCCATGATTTTTGTTTTGTTCCTGCTGTATCCCCAGAGTTTGGAACAATGTCTGCCACATAGGAGGCACTCAGTGAGTGTTTGGTGAATAAAGATCGAACACAAGCCAAACAAGCAATGATTCGAGAGACACTTCCCTGTTTAACAACAACAGAAAGAGATAAAACTCAAGAAATGTAAAGGATTTCCCCCACTGACCAGCCAGGAAGAAGGATTTCCCTAAACCAAAAAATCTACCTGGGCCCTAGCCAGTGTGGTTCACCGTCCCATGCACCAGAAGTTTGTAGGTTCAATTCCCAGTCAGGGCACATGCTGGAATCGAGGGCTCAGTCCCCTGGGGGGGGGAGGGGCGGGTGCAGGAGGCAGTGATCGATGTTTCTCTCGCTTCTCTCTCTCTCCCTCCCTTTCTCTCTCTCTAAAAAAAATCAATAAAAATGTATATCTTTAAAAATCTGCCTGCTTCCTAAGGCATGTTAGAGCAGAATTATTGACAGTTCAAAGACCATAAAGGGAATTTGTAAGAAAGTTTGTTCTGCAACAGCAGTTCTCAAGCTTTTTGGTATCAGGATATCTTTATAGTCTTAAAATATATTGAAGACCCTCAAAGAGCTTCTGTTTATATCAGTTATATCTATTGATATTTACCGTATTAGAAACTACTTATTTCATTCATTTTAAAATGACAAGCAAATTAACATAAATAGCATTTTTAATGAAAAATACATTTTCAAAAACTTTTGTGGGATGAGTGGCATTATTTGACACTTTTACAAATTCCCTTAATGTCTGGCCTCACAGAGGACAGGGATTCTCATGTCTGCTTTTGCACTCATTCTGTTGTGACAGCCCATGTCATTGAAACATTCCACTCTGGTAAAAAGCCACTGTCCACTTGTGAGAGAACAAGAGAGAAAGAGACAAATAATAGATTGTAAAAAGAGTCTTGGCCTCGCAGCTCCTCTCCCCAGCAGTAGGGTCTCAGGGACTCCCGGAGGTCCTCAGGTCCCTTTCTGTTAGCTGTTGTAAAGACAGGTGAGGCAGGAGGTGGTGAGCTCCAGCTCCCTGGCCCTGCCTGAGCACTCCTAGTTTAGATCATCCAGTTCATCCACTCCGAATTTTGAGCTTTCTGACTCTCTTTCAACCTTGATTTGCCTCTATAGGGATACTTAATAGAGCCCAAATATTATTTTAAAATATCCCACTTCATTCCTATAGGATATAAGCCTACTGAGAGAAATCAAGTAGCCTGAAAAATTAAAAATAAGAACCAGGAAAAATATGTTAAAATCTGAAATCAGGCTCTAGCCAGTGTTGTTCACTGGTTAGAGCGTCAACCCACACACCAGAGGGTCACAGGTTCCATTCCCTGTCAAGGGCCCATACCTGGAATCGCAGGTTCGATCCCAGCCCAGGTCAGGGTGCATACGGGAGGCAACCAATCAATGTGTCTCTCTCACATGGATGTTTTTCTCTATCTATGTATCTCTCTTTCTGCCCCCGCCTTCTCCTTCCCTTCCACTCTCTCTAAAAA